AGTGGTGGTACTTTATTCTTCACACCTTCTCCTGCCCATGCAAACTAGTACTAATGCCTTATATGCAAATTATTTTTTGGATATAGCTTTTTTCACAAATACATCTGAAGCTCTTAAGTTATTTTATCAGTCACCATTTATATTACATCTCCTTGCACTACATATGCATATTCATTCTCTAACTATTATGCATTTGGCATTAACTAAATATTAAGAGCCAAGGTCACTCAGTCAAAAGAAGCTTCAAAGTGCTATTCAATAAGTCAACTCAAACAATTATTCACTGGGAAATTACCCTTCTTTCTTGTGGTTGTTAGAATGAAAGAGAATGGTCTGCTGCTGCTACCATAAGCTAGTGCAATAAATAAACAAGATGGCTGGTTGTGAAGGGGTAAAAATTACACTGTTGAAAATGCAATTGGGTTTCAGAGACCTTCATACTTAAATTCTGCAGAAAGGAGACAGAGCCTTTTATAGCTCAGACCTAAAGGTCACTTAAAAAAAACCCAGAAACAAACAAACAAACAAACAAAAAAAAAACACCACAGTATAATTAAGAACTGAAGACTAATCACTATTAACTGTCATAACAAAATAAAAAAATATATCAACAATTTAAATTTGTATTAGCAGTAAAATTATATGTTTCATTTGGCTACAGGAATTCTGTTTAGCTAATGGAGTCATCTAGCATCGCAGCTAAAATTAAAACTAAAATATTTATTTAGCTGTTGTTAAGTGGTGTCCATTATTCACTCACTATTATATTCAACTATTCTCTTTTAGAAATAAGGTTATAACCAAAGTAGTCAAAATAAACTAGATACATCAAATTGTGTACAATTTAGCAAACATTTGAATAATGTTTTGACTATATTACAGAACAAATAAGTTTGAATCATGATTATTAAAATACAAAAATGCATGGCTTAAATGTGAAATATCATATCCCTGTAATCAAATATTTATAACCAGGTCATGTTAAAAAAATGTTTTTCTATTTTTCTTTCTTTTTTTCTTATTTTTGTTACATTTTGTTTTGCTTTGCCTTGTTTTTCTTTCTAATATCAGGTACGCTTTGAGTCTGGCTGTATGTTTCTGAGTGAAAGTGACAGGGTGACTCAAGGAGTCTCACATGAAAAGAAAACAAAACTCAAAAATAACCTACAATCAAACAAAAAATTCATCACCAAAGCTGAAGCAGTCCCATACAACAGTAAGGAGCCAAAAATGCTCCTGGCTCATCCACTGACAGCCCTGGGTTTGAGGGAGAGGTGCACATAGACTTAGTGGAATCTGGCCTGCAGATAAAATCTTTGTAGCACACTTTTTGTGTATGTGAAAATTTGGGGGGAGAGAGAATATATATATATATATATATATATATATATATATATATATAGAGAGAGAGAGAGAGAGAGAGAGAGAGAGAGAGAGAGAGAGATTTTGAAAGGGATTGCTAAACTACTTAAAAAATAAAAGTAATAATATAATTCTAACAATGAGCCATAGGATATTATTTGACTTTCACAAGTAGCCTATGTTGTTTAAAATGCTCATATATTAATTATAATGCTAAAATATCTTATTTCCTTATGGACTTTAAAAATAAACTCAATTGTTCAAAATATAATAGAGCTTACAATTTAAGATTACAATGATGCTAACATTTTTAGGATTTTACTTACAATAAATTAAAATAAAACTCTTCATGTCTTTATTACAAATCCAATATATGTTTATCATCAAATATTTTACTTAGAGAAGCAATTTGTAAATCATTTATAACTCTATCATGTGATGTTAGTATTGCACAGTATACTTTTTAATTTTTTTTAAAATGTATCTTTATAAAGTATTATAGATGTAGCCCTTTTTTCCTCATTGACCCCCTCTCCAACCTGCACCTATTCCCCCCAGATCTTCACCACAGTATTGCCCATGTCCATGAGTTATGGATATCTATATATAAAAGACTAATATTCTAAGTGTCTCTCCAACCATTCGACTGGACACTATGATGTGCACTGACCACCAGGGGGCAGATACTCAACACAGGAGCTGCCATGAAGTTCACTGGCCATTTAAAAAGAAATGGCACTGTGGACTTGGTGCTGACAAAGCAACACTTGGCTTCCCCCAAGTGGGACTCAGGCCCCACCACCACTCCAGAGTGGCAGCCCACCAAATTGCAGCCAACTCTGCTGAGACCTCATGGTGTAAAATGCAGCCCACAGCACCAAACAGCCAGGAAATGGTTGCTGTGAGCACCAAGTAATGACTTCATGTAGCAATGCCTGACTTGCTCTCCCTAGCAACTAGTCTCCTTGCAGGTTCTTCAGCCCAGGAACACACTTGCTTTATAGCCAGGTGGACACATTTTACACTTTAACCAAATGTCTGTGAAGCATTTTCCCATGCCTCATCTCATTTGTTCCTCTCAGAAGTCCTGGAGTAGTTAGGAGACTTGGTAGAATCCTATTTTCTTTTTATTACCCAGAAAACAGATATTTAGAACATATAGAAACTTGACCCAACTGAAAAAAAGTAAGAAATGATGGACCTTAAAAATTACTTCAGGCTTTCTCACTACATAGAATATAGTCAAACACTGCTACAGTTAAATATTTTACCCTTTCTTCTTCCTGCATTAACTATAATAATAATCTGTTTCATGTTGATATTTACTGCTATGTTGCTGACAATTACCTGACAGAGAAGTTGGGATGCTTCACTGTACCTAAAATGTTTAGGTACATCAGAAAGCAGGTCTAATTAAGCAAGTTTATTCTATATCTATAAAAGGCTAGAAGCTGACTTGCAGTTGCGTGATACACATAAAGCTCTCGCTGGTGCCAATTGCATGCGTGTGTTTTGATCTGTCATTGTCGATTATGAATTTGGTTGACACTTCTATTGTAGAGAAAGGGCAAATAGTGATATTAAAATATTTATTCTAATTAATTTCCTTTCAATGTGCAATAGTGCACCTGGCCACTATTATGCATATAATTTCTTTGGCTCACAGCACACCTTTTGCAGTTCCTTCTATGAATGACAGTTATTCCTTTATAAATGAACAAATCTTTATGTTACACAAATAATCTCATTGTGTTCTCTAAAAGTTTTAATTATTATACATAATACTAACCACATTTTCTTAAGTCTAAAGATTATTACAGTCTATAGAACAAATAAAATGCTTAAAATAAATTGTTGCTGAAATGGTACTACTAATATTCCCAGAACATTCTGTCCCTTATTTATACAATTTCCGTTATTATTTTTCAAATGCCAGATACTTAGTAAGTCAGTATATAAGCCAAAATTACTCTTAAAATAGTGAATTAGAAGTGGAAGGCAGACTGACTATTGCAGTAGTCACACTGACAATAGTGTGATAAAAGCTTGACAAAAAAAAAGACAACTATATAGAGACTGAGAAATAGTAGAAAGCAGAGCAATGAGGCCCTTTAGTATGAAAGCAAACCGTTCTACACAACTGCTCAGTTGTTCCTGAGGTCATAGTTTTACAGCTATTGTAATAAAAGCCATAAGAATAATGAGGGAGAGGGGAGGATTGTAGAATATTTGGCTCTTTAGAATGATCTACTTTCCAAGGATTCCTAGAGTTAGAATATCAGTTTGGGTATTGAGAAGTGCACGTCTGCAAATGACTCATTAAAGATCGGATAATAAAATGTTTGACTCAAAGAGAAGGAGGGTTCCTTCTTTAATGATAATACTCAGTATATGGTTAATAAGGATAATAATAACCCTGAGATGTATGTGTGTGTATATATATATATATATATATATATATATATATATATATATTTGTATTTATGTATATATAGCCAGCAACCAGAATGCCATAATGACCAGAACAACTGGTCACTATACCTCCACTGTGACCAGCAACCTGGGGGTATGTGGCTGCTGGCCAACCTCCCATGACCCTCCTCCTCACCGGCCAGGCCCACCCCCATCCTGATTGGCCCACAGCCCTTCCATTGAGCTGTCCCTGCCTCTGATTGCCCATAAAAGGGTAGATCCAGCTGGCCAACATCCTGAAGCCCCTCCCCTGGCCAGCCCCACTTTTAATGGCCCCCACAACCTTGATCCACCTGCAACCCCTCCTCCTGGTCAACTCCACCGCTGATTGCTGATTCCCCCCACCCTCACCCCAATAGGGTCTGGGGCCAGCCAACCAACCTTATACAGACCCTCCCCATGGCCAGCCCCATCCCTGGTGAGCCCCTACCACTCCCATCAGCCTGCAGCCCCTTTCCCTGGCTGGCCCTGCTCCTGATTGCTTGCCCCCCCCCCCCCCACCCAATTGGGAGCAGGGCCAACCAGCTAACATCCTACAGCCCCTCTCCTACCTAGACTCCATCTGTGCACAAATTAATGCACTGGGCCTTTAGTATGTAGAAAAAGTGGAATGAAGGTAATTATTAGGGTAGTGTTAGATTTTGCAGAAAGAGCTATATTTGAATGTGAAATAATTGAAGTGGAGACAATGGAAATTATCTTCTTGTTATCCTTAATCAAGTATGAGCCAAATGGGATGGAGCCCATATCTTTTAGAAACCAATCTCCAAGGAGAAACTTCTGGGCCAGTCTTATTTAAATGAACTAAATGTTAGGTACAACATTACAAAAAAAAACACCCCACAAAAAAACCCTAAACTATATTTTTTCATATGAAACCTTTGCATATTAGCTAGAGCTTGAAACTATAAGTCATTTCAATAAAACATGGTAATAGGAAATACTTTAAAACTTATATGTTGCCTTATACTTATTCATAAGTATACCTCATTCCTGTTGACAAGAAACAAAATTTTTCATCCTTTCTCATGATAATCCTCTATAGGAAGGGAGGCTCTGTATGACCATAGTTAGTATGCTACATAATTTTATCCATTTCCAGTTGAAAATTAGTTGAATGTTTTTTTCATTTTCTAAAATTACTAAAATAAAATAAAATAAATTACCTTTAAGGCTATTTTGAACTTCCAAAGCTATGTCAAGAACATTAAATGGCAGAACTGGTTCATTGGCAATCTGTAAAATCACTTCTCCTGAGAGCTGAAAGAGAAAAAGAAATTATATTCATATTAAGGGGTTTTGTTTGTTTGTTTTTTATTATTCTATACACTCTTATACATTCATAGTAGCAAAAACACTGGAGATAAAATACACTTTCATAAACTCTTTTTTCCCCTTTTAAACCTTTATTTTATTTTATTTTATTTTATTTTATTTTCTATAAAGAAAAAAATATTGGTATCTATTTCATGTCTTGGGCTAGTATAAAGAAATATAATTTTTTTTTTAATTTAAATATTAAAAAATGTTTCCATACTTGGGATTGTAACATTTAAACTTTTAAGCAATTCCTTTAAGACAGTTTAGAATGTCACATAATAAACTAGAGAGAAACTGAAAATCAATATCTGGCCATTGAACTAAGTAAAACTTCAGATAACATTAATGATGAAATGAGTTAAAATATAAAACAATCTAAAAAATGCCTTTAAAATCTTAGGTATTATTTTTATTTATGCTTTATTATGTTTCTAATTAGTTTTCTAAATTTTATCAAAGCTAGTCATGTTTATACCACTTCAGGATCAATTTTTAAATTAAATTTCAAAATGTAAAATTTTAAATAGCATCCCCCAAACTCATACTTGGAGTTTTCATACAAATGTCCCCCACCACAAGACTCCAAAATTGTGTTTGAAAGCCAATATATTCACTACAGCTGAACTAGCATCTCTTAATAGACTGAAGAAGTCATATGCATTCATATACATCTCAAAGAAACTTCAGATGGGTGGCAAATCCTATTGTTACTCTCCCTCTTTCTCTCAATTGATATTGAGTATTTACTGGGTCTATATGAATGTCCTACATTTCTTATAGACCTAAAGCTGGCACACAATAAAATATGGCCGAGTTAATGTTATTAATAAACTTGAAATGTTGTTAGTCAGTTAAAATACTGTTTTGTAAAACCACAGAAGGGAAATTGGTACACTAAATTGAAACAGTACAGAACACATAAGAGATATAACTTATAAGAAAAATGCCTTGTTAAATATTAAAATCCACATACTCAACAAGGGTCAAATTCCATTTAACATTTCCAAGTTATATTTCTCAGTTGTTTACACAATTTATATTATGATAAAAATACAATTCAATTTGATATTCTACATGCTTGGAGAAACACATTTCTTAGAAATAAAAAAGGAAAAAATAAACTTTGACATTCCTTCATTTCTTTGAGATATTTTTTTCCAAATGTAGCAACCAGTTCTTCCCCAATGCCTAAGATATCTTTTCAGAGTTTTATCAACAGCTTAGTGATCACAAAAATCCTGGGAAAGTGCCTATTCTGATTATGCCTTCTGCAATAGATTGATATGAATCCTGCTTCTATTCCATCACACCCCATCCAACTCATGCAAAGACACTGATATTTGGAAATAAATTATTTGCAAAAAGAAAATTTTAAAGAAGATTAATAAGCACTGTAGTTCCGTTTCCCAATTTGCACTGGATAATAGAAACTACAGAACAGACATGTTTTATTTACACTTTTGGAATCTGGAAACCACACAAAAGATTAAAATGAAAGAATGGGGAGGGAGGAGAAAGGCAACTTCTCTGTGTGCTGCTAGAGTTGTTTTGTTTTGCTTTCTTAAGAGTCATTTGGCAGCTTTTACACAACTGGAATATAAGCCCGTCACCTTGTTTTTTCTTTCAGAAAGAACCTCGCAATAAATTTTGGAATTTCTAAGTCACCTGGCCCATGGTAGACTGCTTAGACTAAATCGGCTTTATTTGCAGCTGCGTAAACAAGAGGGAGATTTGTGTATGCCTTGCCATGAAGTGAGAGGAGATGAAACATATGCATACACTTCTCACCCACTATGGAATTTTTAACCTTCTTCAGTCATGCCAGACAATCTTCTTTTATATTTATGCAAGGCCCCATACTTTTTAAGTGCTTTACACCCAAATATCTCATTTCATTATCTTGATAAGCCTAATGACAGATAGTGGGGACAGTAAGCCTGTGTTAAAAACTGAGTTCAAGTCTTACCAGGTTCCATTCTAAGGAGACTCTTAATTCATCTTCTCTCATGAACATTCCAAGTCTACAGCTACACACAAAATAATTCCCTCTGAAAAACGCCAGAAACTATCTGAATGATTCCTAGGCTAAAGGAAAACAAATAATAATAATAATAATAATAATAATAATAACCAAACATCCACACACATAAAAATGATAAGGAAGTCTGAGGCATACTCTGGCCCTAAAACCCACTGCATCACAGGGATCTACAATGAGTCAGGAACTCACAACTTTTAACTTTTCTCTAGTGTCCTAACTTTTTAGATTTATATTTAAGGGATAGAAGCCCAAAACCTCAGACTGAAAGCCATTGGGGCTTGTGTCCACAAGACCCACAACACTAAAGAAAAGAAAAACAGTTCTTGAATATCTTGTATCTTGGTGGCTAAGGTTCAGTGCAGAGGCTACAGGTAAAAAAAGAAAAAAAAGAAAAAAAAAAAAGAGAGAGAAAAGAAAAGAAAGACCATGTCCTAGTTTTTCTTAGAAAACAGTTCTAGCTGCATATCTAAAAATCTGTAGCCTGAAGGTGAGGTTTCTAATTTAACACACATCTATGGGCCAAATGAAATCTTCTTTAGAGATTAGAGAGAATGGCAAGCACCATCTTTGTATACTCCCTCTGCTCTGCTGCAAGTCACTGATGTCCTCCTGAAAGGAGGCTGTGTATATGCTTAGTACCTAGATGTGTAGCTACCACTCAGGAAATGCATCCCTTGATCTTCTGACTACAATGGTCAGTGGAGCCTTGCATTCATGATCCCACAGAATGTAGCAAAAAACAAACAAACAAAAAACACTTATCTTTTTCTTTAATGTATTATTAATTGGTTTCAGAGAGTAAGGGAGAGGGAGAGAGAGATATAGAGATATCAGTAATGAGGAAGAATTACTGATCATTTGCCTCTGGCACATTCCTCACTGCAACTCCAGCATCTGTCCTGAGCGGGAATTGAACCATGGCTTCCTGGTTCATAGGTCAATGCTGAACTATTGAGCAATGCCAGCCAAAAAACACTTCTTAACTGGCTAATGCTCCAAGGCTCAGTATATGGGTGAGGTAGCAGAGTGAAATATACATTTCCTAACTTTTCCTTGAAAGAAGTTTATTACATGCTTCAAAATTGGTGCCAGAGCACTCAGCTTTCAATTAGCCTGCATCTAGGTGATGAGATCCTTCCTTTGGGACACTGACAGTTCTTGGCACATCCTCAGCTACTGGGAGCCACTAAAAACAAAAAATTTTGCTTAGACAATCACAAAAACTTGAGAGACAACCAAGAGCTAGAGCCAGGTTGGATGATAAGGTTCCTCTCCTACAGGAGACCATTTTATCAAGAATAGGAGAGGTAATTATTTTATTACCTAGTTTATTAAATTATTACATTAACAGAGTCAAGGAAAATGATGAACAAAGAATTATGCTTCAAACAAAGAACAAAATAAAATTCCAGAGACATAATTCAATAAAAAGCAGATAATTGATTTACTTGATAAAGAGTTCAAATAATTGTCATAACTTTGCTCAACAAGATTAGGAGAACAGTGCATGAGCAAATATATAATTTTAATAAAAAGACAGAAAATATAAGAAAGTACCAAACAGAAACCACAAAGGTGATTTACAAAAAAAGTGTTAGAGGGAATTATTCAAGTTGAAACAAAATGATGGTAATTAGTAACAGCCAAAACATATTCAAGTATAAATTTTACTGGAAAAGGCAATTATATAGTTAAATTCAGAATACTTTAGTATTTTTTTAATAATTGGTTTTCCTTTATTCTGCAGTTCACATATGACAGCTCTAAAACCAGCACTTAGATTTTTTTTCTTCTGAATTTATTGCTTCTTCAGATGTGTTTCAGTGGAGACAATTTCTTCCAGTAGCATATGCAGTCTGATCCTCATGCAGTGGGATATGCAGGCTCTCAAAGACTCCAGCTCTGTAGCACTGGAACCTGGGCCCTCCCCTTGGATGGCACTCCTGCCTGCAGCGGGGTGTGTGTGTGTGTGTGTGTGTGTGTGTGTGTGTGTGTGTGCCCTGGTCCCATTTCCCTGAGGTGCCCTTAGGCCTGGAATGTCAAACAGGTTCCATATGTGTTCCAACTCTGAACAAACATTGGGAGTTGCCTAGAGCCCAGTAGTGAAGGTAGTGAGGCAGGTGGTGTCTGGGTTTCATTACAAAAAATATGGTATTTGACTGGCAATGTCTGCCATGGCAATATTTACTTGACATAAATGGAATGGGGATGTTGGGGAAACAGGCTGCCGCCAGCTCGATTCAGAAAGGGGCAAGGTGTTCATTCTATCCTTGCCTTGGGTGGTTATTCTCCCTGGCCAGGTGGGCTCACAAAACAGAGAAGGCCACAAGCTGCAAGTGGCTTCCCCAGTCCCAGCTTGATGGGCTTGGAAAGCAAGCATGTGCAGGGCCCCAGGGGTTCTGCATGTAGCAGCCTCCCTTCTGGGGGCAGTTTATTCAGGCAGAGACAGCTGGCTGGCTGTCAACTTGAGTCAGATACAACATGGGTATAAAATCATTTCCATGGCACTTAACAAAAATCCCCTTAATTTATGGTTAAACTCTCTATAATTTCTAGTCCAAACTAAAAAGGTTCATCTTCAATGTGCTACTGAGAAACTAAATTAGAGTAAAAAGGATAGTCTTACTTTAATCAAGTTCCAGAATAAGGGCCACTGCTTTGAAAAGCACTGTCGTAGAAGAAGAGGCAAGGGTGTGTGTAAAGAATGTTTCTAGAAAATACCAAAGGCACCAAACATAACCCCAACCTGGCCTTCTGTTCCCCCTTGGAGCCAATTCATATTCTGGGTGGGGAGGCGACTTGTCCCCCTGACTTTGGGAATGTCATAGAGCTCAGTGAGTATATCCAAGTGTCTGTTGAAGTCCTCCGCTCTTTGGTTGTGGGTTTTGGGGGCTTTCTT